TCTCCCTCTATCAGAACTGTCTCCCCTTCCTGGAAGTGGAGGCATGATCCGTCTTTTCACGTGAACATCATCTGCTTTTTTTTTTTTTTTCTACGAGCAAACACAAAACAGTGTTTTTATTAAAGAAATGTAAACAAACAGATCATACAAACACATTTATAATCACATCTTCCAAACCCTTTGCCGGAGTCCTGCCGCCCACATCATCTGCTTTTAACCATTACTTCTCTTCTTAAGTAAGTTTCATGCCTATAGACCAAAACTATGTAAGAGTTATAAAGAAATGTGGAGATTAACCTTTTCCCTCCATCACACAATTTTACTATTATTCTTAAGGACAGCATTAAACATGTGTACTCTGTATAAAGGGGGAAATTACACCTGCACTAGAGCCCTTAGAAGGACAACCCAAGCTTCCCCTGTCTGTGCAGGGAAACTATTGGCTTGAAGAAAAGACATAGAAAAACATTTTAGAAAAAGGAGAATACCTTTCAAGTTCAAGTTGTCAGAACATTTTTTAAATATAAGAACATATTTTCCATTTGGCAATTGTTTCACATCTATTACAATCACTGGCAAAGATATAGCATTTATTAATCATGGACTATAATTTCCTGTTATATTTGGAAACACAAATGGATAAGACTTGGATGTACTTTAATAAAATTCTGAAACTTTCTTCTCAAAAAACCTCATTTTCTGTTTCCTCATAACCTCATTGTGCCAAGATGAAAATAAAACAATTAGAATGAAAGCAACCATTCACCATTCACCTGACTCTGCATTGTCAACCATGTAGGCAGGTTGTGGATTTCCCCAAGGTTTCTCAGTGAAACCCTAGAGGCAGAGAAGGGACTGTGTTCCTTTTTTTCTTTTTTTATTTATTAATTAGTTTACTTATTTATTTGTAACAGTCATCAGCAGGAAGCCCAGCCGCTGTGCTGTGGAAGAGCTCTGCCCATGTGATCCAACCTCTCACCTTCCACCCTGGCATCCCGCCCCCCCCCTGCCCCCAGCGGTGCTGCGATTCAAACCATTCAAACCCCTTTGGGCTGCCGCTGCCCAAAGATTGCAGTTTAACAAGCAACCCAGGTGTCTTCTATACTCAGTAAAGCACAAACTCCCAATGCCCTTGCAGGTTGGGCTCAGTAGATATAGCATCATCTCTCTCGGTCTTTCCCTCCCTCTTCCATTCTCCCTAAAATTCAATGGAAAATATCCTCAGGCGATGATAAACAAAAAAGAAAGGAAAGAAGGAAGGCCCACAAGCATGAATGACAACTGCTGGGATTGAGGGAGACGCAGGGTGCAGAAGCCAGAGTAAGATAGCGTGGGCAAAGGCAGGAATCAGGCCCAAGGGGGGTTTTTGTGCCTGAGAGGAGCAGCTACCATGCATTCTGGATCTAGTGGTTGTGTTCAGAGGCTGGAGGCTGCTCCCCACCGTCACTGCCAAACTAAACCCAGAGGCTGATCTGTCTGTGTGAGCTGGGCTGGAACTGGTGTTTCAGGCCAGGGGACTGTTTGTGTGTGAATGTGTTGTAACGTACCCCGCAAATCACAGAAGGACGCCTCAAGAAGTCGAATTAAAGAGTCACATTTATTGCAATCCGGGACTATGAGGGGTTATTCCCAAATCTCATAGTACCTATTTGGTCACAGTTCCAGGGTTATATAGGCAAAAAATCACAAAGATATTGATTACATCTCAGGGTTTGGAATGAGAAACCTGGTTCGCAAAAAAACCAGTTTACAGAAGCAGAAATTAAGCATGTTGATTACAGTTTTGGGTCTCCTGATCACTGAGTTGACAGAAACACATCATCTGGGATCGCTGGGTTGACAGGAACACATTATCTAGAGCCCTTGGGTCTTGAGACCACTGAGTTGTCAGGAAGTCATTATCTAGAGCCATCGAGGCAATTTAGAGTAATTGC